CATTTGTTTTTGAATAGAGCACGATCATTTGCTCTTTTGCACTGAGATTTTTTTCAACATAAAGCACTTTTTAATTTAAACTACATAAATCTCTGCGTAGAAGCAAATTAAAAAGACAAAAGTTAAAAAGAATTTTTTTTTTCATTCTATTTTTTTAACAAAATAGCATTTTTATCTTTTTTTAAAAGAAACGTTGCTCCAAATTAACTTAATAATAATGGTTTAAATTATTATTTTATAAACAATTTTATATAGTTATTTTTACTACTTTAAGTATAATAAAGTATATATAAATTCGTTTTTATTAAATAAAATTTTTATTAGTAAAATTGTGCTAAAAGAAACCAGCAACTTTTTTACTTTCACATTTTTCGCTTTAATTTGACTTAGAAACTATTGAAGTTATATTTAGTTAACTTTACTGAATGGATAAAGTATATCACAGTAAATTAACTTATAAGCTAAATCAAAACAACCAGTTAAGTAAAGATAGTCACTTACAGTTACTCAAGTATTAATTTATTTAATATACTCGCAAAAGCTAGCCATAGACGTGTTTCAATTTAGATCTTATATTTTGTTAACACATATTATAAGCTTTTAACTAATAATTTTAACGAAAATTGTCGAATAGAATATGAAAAACGCGACACCATTTTTTTATATTTTCATTTTATTTATAGCGACATCTAGACTAAGCATTTTCTATAAATACGTAATTATTTTCAGGAATTTTATTTAAAAAGAAATCAATTTAACAAGAGAACAATTTAACAAGAGCCTTAAAATTCACTTATTCAAATAATTTTGTGATGAAATTTAAAATTTAAAAGAAATTTAAAAATATAAAAAAAGTTTGATGAAACAAGGGAGAAAAGAAGAAAGTTTTTTTTTCTTAAATTGTAAATTTTTTTTATGTTTTGAATTATATATTTTTTCTTGAAAATAGTTTTTAAAGTAGAAACATTCTATTGCAAACATCGAAGCAGTGATTGCAAATTGCAAATTAAAATAAAAATTATAAAAAATTTAAACAAATTATTTTACTTCTGTTCGAAAAAAGTTTTTTCTAAAAAAATAATTTAAGCATACTCTTATACTTACTATAATTCGATTTATGTTTCACTTTTTTTTGGAAAACAATTAGAATAAAAAAAAATTGAATGAAAACATCAGTTTAAAAACCATTTGAATAAAAAACTTAATTATACTTAAATTTTTAATTGTACGCTCGTACGATAAGGAAACAATAATTTATAAAATTGTAATGTTGCTTTTTCTCTTACTTTTTTACTTTTACTTTTTTAAGTATCATGTTAAGTAAAAATATACTTAAAGAAATATCTTAATAGTATTAAAAACGTTATTGCTTATTACAACTGCAACTTAAACTTTAAGTTATAGCTTAAGTTGTAAATAATAACAGTAACTTACGCTATTTTAAACTCTGCCAAACAAGAAAATTATAAGATTATATTTAAATATGAGAGAATTTATGTTAAAAATAGAACAATTACGTACAAAACTTACAATTATATACTAATGCAACTTGCCTTGCCTCCGCTTGCTTGAATTTAAAACATAAAAGCAAATTTAAATGTTTCAATAAACCATAGTTATAATAACATTTAATGACTATTCATGACAAAATAATTATTGGTATACTTCGTTGTGCAATCACTTGACATCTTTTGTAATTATTTTGCATTTAAAAGCCTTTTGTTGTTATTTTTTGCTGAGACTTAGTAATTGTAACTTTATTTTGCTATGCCTTTTATGTAAAAAGAAAGTTAATATTAATTATAAAATTGAACTCGCAATAAATGTGAAATATGAAGTTTACGAGCTTGTCTTTACTATTTTCAAGACCTTTTTTTATTTTTAAAACATTTCTTAATACTTAATTAGAAGTAGAAGATTGCTATGTTCCTAAAAAAATACCCTTTAATGCTCATATGTGAAAAAAATATATATGTATTCAAAAGAATACTCCTAACATGAAAGCAGCAATGATGTATTAAGATTAAAAGTAAATTAAATATATTATTCTTAATAATAATCAATTAATACACACTGAATATTTTATATTATAAAAATATATAATTCTAAATATATTTTTGGAAATCGGAGCTTAATTTACCTAGTCGTTAATTTTGTGTTGATTTCACATTCATCTTCAATAAATGTTACAGGCAGATTTTGTTTTATTTTTGGTGCTGTCCAATCAATATATGCAGCACTAACGTGGAGTAGGAGAAGAAAGAATATAAGAAAAGGACCCCACACATTCCCAGTACACATTTTAATCTTAGGGGAGGGTGTGTGTGGTATATTTGGGAAGTTTTTTAGCAAATTCCCAATTTCGTCAAAACGCTTATTTTGTTTTTATTTTATCGTAATGATTGATTTTTTCGCTTGAAAAACCCTTATATTTTATCCTTGAAGCAAAGATCAAAATAATATAATTTATTTCTGATAAAAATTATATGATTTAATTTAAAACTACTTTAATAAAAATATATAATTTTATTCTGATTAAAAAAAAAAATTTAATTTAGATTTTAAAAATATGTAGTTTAATTTTGATTTAAAAAATATATTTAAGTTTACTAAAATTAAAGTTAATGCTTAGGTTTAACTTAACTGTCAAATTTATTTAAAAATATTACTAAATATTTATTTAAAAATATTACTAAATATTTATTTAAAAATGTTACTAAATATTTATTTAAAAATATTACTAAATATTTATTTAAAAATATTACTAAATATTTATTTAAAAATGTTACTAAATATTTATTTAAAAATGTTACTAAATATTTATTTAAAAATGTTACTAAATATTTATTTAAAAATGTTACTAAATATTTATTTAAAAATATTACTAAAATTTATTTAAAAATATTACTAAATATTTATTTAAAAATATTACTAAATATTGTTCAATATTTAAATTTTATTTGTTTTAAAAAAAAAATTAGCTAATTTTTATCGCAATTGTTTTTTCAGCTTTCCTTCTTAAACATTTTTTTTTTACTCAAAATGAAATTTTAAATTAACGGCTGCGTCAAAAATTTGCACAAAATGTAAGTTAAACTTTTTTTTTTATATAACGCAAGTTAAATTGCAGCGATCATTTTTTAATAGACAGTGTATACAGTGATATAATTTTATTAAATGATATTTGGAAAAATAATCAGAATTTAGCGTTAAATGATATCAGTAGCATCATTTTGAAATAACATTTACAAAAAATGGCTAAAATAGTTATGACAGGAAAGCTTGTTGCTATCCTTAAAATGCTTTAAAAAACGCTAACCTTTATTACATCCCCTTCTTTAAATACAACTAAAGTTTTTTTTACAGCAATAGAGTTTAAAACAATAAAGAGTTTTTGTGCAATAAAATATATTTATAAGATAGGACTTTTTTTTACAAATATAATAGTTTTTTATGCATCAATGATTAGGGTAGATTATCCATAAAATTTAAAAGAAATGATTTTAGGGAAATATTGAGTCTATATGAAATATATTGAAAACATGTCTGCAGATTGCAGTTTTACACCAGCAGATTGAGCCAAGTTCAAGTTTGCTATTTTACTCTTATGAATCAAATTAATACTGATACACTAAAAAGATTTTAATGAAAAACAATTTAATTGTTAAACAATTTAATTCGAGTGTGTATGGAAGAACCAAATAATGTTTAATATCAATTCTAAAATTGAATTGTAGACTGAAGCAGGGCTGTGGAGTCGGAGTCGTGACATTTTTAGCGGAGTTAGAGTCGCTAAACAAAATTGCGACCGACTCCAAAACTTCACGGTATTGCACGTGCATGTATAAAACATTCAATTAATCTTATATTTATACTAAACCTCAAAGAACGTTTCATAAATTTGTCAAAAATCTTTTTTTTAACTTATGGCATAATATTTTTTTAAAAGTTCAAAGAATTTTTCAAAAATTTTGCTTTGGAGTTGGATTTGGAGTTAGAGTTGGAGTCGAAGTTGTACTCAAAAAATTTCAACAACTGGAGTCGTAGTCGTTACTTTTTTTTTATGACTCCACACCCCTGGACTGAAGATACAGTGTTAAGGTCTGCACAGACAAGGAGAAATATTAATTTATAAAAAGAAAAAAATTTTACTATTAAAACACAACTTGATTCAGAATCCTCATTAGGAAAACAGGCAAGACTTTAGCATTAATGAATTTTCTTTTTGATTGTATATATTTAATAAACTAATGTTGACAAAATCTTGTTTATGTAGCATCAGTAATTTTTATTTTGACAATTTATAAAACAATTGTCTTCTAGTATTAAAATATTAAATTTCAATTATTGTGTGCTAAAAGAAAACTACTATACTAAATTAAATTTCATATCATTATTGCATGCTAAAATTTCATATTTTCTACAGCTACACTCTGTTGCTAATTTAAAAAAAAAACAATCACTTGAACTTAGTATTAAAATTAAAAAATTAAAAATGTCTTCTAAAGATTTTAGGACAATTTAAAGCAATAGGGAGTAACAAATAAAAAATATTTTTTAAAAATAAAGTTTTTCTGTGTTTAATTTAAAAAAAGTTTATTTATTTTATAACAAAAATATTAAACATCTAAAAACATCTAAAATTACTTTGATGTTATCATACTTCTGTTGTACTGTACTGTAAAACTTTGTTATGAGTTTTCCTTTTAAAAAAGTCATGCTTTGATTTAAAATTATGTTGATTTATGCTTTATAAAGCAAAAAGTGTTTTTTTATTTACAAAAATTATGAGGTGTTAAGAAAAAAAAGTTTACACACTGGAAAAGAAATTTATTTTAGTTCTATGTGTTAATAGGCCCCCTATAGATTTTTTATTTTGTATACTGATAAACTTATTTTTATTTTTATATGTATTTTGTATCTGAATTTTTATATGCTTATATAAGCACACCATCATATAGTGAAGTGTACTTCAAAATTTAAAATATATTTAATTGTAGGATCCTTTGTTAGCAGATGTTGTTCAACGTTTACACCCAAAGCATATTGTCAGATATCATGAGCATGATATTTTGTTAGAAAATGTAGAATCAGAAGAGCTTAATGAAGAAGAGAGAAAACAAGCCTGGAAAGAGTATGAAAAAGAAAAAGAATCTGCAACCATTAATTTAAGTAAGATTTTAGTTTTATTTGTTGAAAGTGTTAAACTCAACTCGATCAACTTTTTATACATTACTTTTTTACTATATTTATGTTTTTTATTTTATTTTTTTATGTTTTTTATTTTTTTGCTATATAATCTTTTTACTAAAATAAGTTTTCCTTTTTCTTTTGATGTTTAAAATAATTTAGTTTTTTCTTTTAATGTTTAAATAATTTGGTTTTTTCTTTTGATGTTTAAATAATTTGGTTTATTCTTTTGATGTTTAAATAATTTGGTTTTTTCTTTTGATGTTTAAATAATTTGGTTTTTTCTTTTGATGTTTAAATAATTTGGTTTTTCTTTTGATGTTTAAATAATTTGGTTTTTTCTTTTGATGTTTAAAGAATTTGTTTTTTTCTTTTGATGTTTAAATAATTTGGTTTTTTCTTTTGATGTTTAAATAATTTGGTTTTTTCTTTTGATATTTAAATAATTTGGTTTTTTCTTTTGATGTCTAAGTAATTTGGTTTTTTCTTTTGATGTTTAAATAATTTAGTTTTTTCTTTTGATGTCTAAGTAATTTGGTTTTTTCTTTTGATGTTTAAATAATTTTTTTTTTTGATGTTTAAATAATTTGGTTATTAATTCTTAAAATGAGTAAGTTGCTCATTGTTTCTTGCATAATAAAAAACTTCAAATGTTGAAATTATTGCCTCTTTTTGTCCAATTTATAATAGTAACATTTATTATTTTAGTTATATAGTTTTTAACCCAATTATATTAACTTTATTCACATATAATTGTTTGTTTTCTTTTATATATTTAACTAAGAATTCATTTTTTATTATTAATTTTTCAAAAAAAAATCATTACAGAATTTTATAATTGGATAAAGGTTAATTTAAAAATATTTTTAAAGCTGTTGATGATTTGTGATAAAAAGAAATTATTTATAAATATAAGTATACTAATGTGTTCAATTTACTGAATGTAAATTGATTTAAATACTTATTAAAGCTCAAAGAATTCAAAATATCAATTTTATTAGTTTGTTGACCCCCTGCCAAAAATATATTCTCATAATAATCAAAACTTATAATCTTTATACTTCTGCTTATTATAAAAATCAGGACCAGATTGTGGTTAAACATGACATTGCAAATGAAGTTCTTATCAATTATTTGCAAATGAAGTTTTTATCAATTTAAGAGTGTTAATCTTATTATTCAAAATTCTATTAAGTAATGCCTCTACATCATAAGGCTCTACATCACAAGGGTAAATTTTACTTTTTTGAAAACCATTTTGAAGTTTTTTTAAAAAAGTAAATTCTAGGAAATCAAGGACTTGTTTAAGTAGCTACAAAAATTTTGTAAGACACTGAAACATAAACCATCAGGTGTTTCTTTCTACTCTAAATAGACTTTTCTCCTAGCAATTTTTGTTGACCTAAAAAAAAGCATCTACTAATTGTATAATATGTGTATTGTTTGGATGCATACACAGTTAGTATTTCATTCTCTGCACTTTTTGAAAAAAATGTTTAAGGTGAGTAATCAGACTTTCAGCAATGAGAACCTTTTTATGTATTTTCAGTTTTAACAACTTAAGTCTTTCAAATCAATTATTAAAAGCAAGTGAATCAAATCAATCTGGTTTAGTACTATTACAATTTTTTGGACCTCCCTCTTCACATTTAGATGGCTTTATGCACAAAAAGGCGGCTGGATTTCACCGGCTGTACTGCCACACATTAAGAAAGTGCTTGACTTGAAAAAATTATTTCTAGATATTTATTATCAAGATGACATATTACATTTCAATATCCAGGATCATCAGTTAAGTTGGTTTAGTCTAGGTTCCATAAATTTTTTGTTGGTACATCTAAATTTAAAGAAGATTTTTTTAAAATCTCCTTTAAATTTTACAATATATGCTCGTATTATATCTTAATTTTTCACGGCTGTTTCAGAGTGAGCTTTACGGCTTCTTGTTTGTTTTTGTTTTTGAAAATTTTAACGTAAGGGGTGTTACTAAAATATTTATAACTTTTGAAATATTAAAGATAATTTTGTTATGTAAAAGGGATAAAAATAACAATAAAATGTTTTATCATATGGCATTTAATATTATGTAAAAAAACTTCTTTTAGTTTAGAAAAAATGCGACAAATGATGAAATCGGCTGAACTTTAGTAATTTGTTGTTACTTTTTATCAACAAAAAAATTGAAAATATATATTTCTAATATTTATTAACAAGTTATAAACATTAGACTATTATAAAAACAAAAAAAATATTACTCAAACTTTATGTTAATTGAAACAGAGATAATTAAGTCATAAAACAAAATCGCAT